ACTAAATGTGATCTTGTGAATCGTGTTCCGAACCAAAGTGTAAACATCCTATGGGATTTGATAAGCGAAATCTTTGTAAGTTTTTTACCATAATAAATATTTGAATTTGGGAGAAAAAAAAGCAGCTCGAAGGAAACACGCACCCGCCCAGAGATCATCGAAATTGAAAGCATTCCAAACGTAGAACTTGAACCGAGGACGACCAGAGCGAATTATTACAATATGATACAGTGAGTTTTCATGATATTCATCTATGGTCATATGGAATTGTTAGACGACACAAGAGTTCAACTGTGAAGCTGGTGCACACATATACTGCTCAAAAGTGGGAACCCCAGTCCACCAAGGGAAATCACACACACATACACACACACACACACAATTTTTGATAAAATGGAAGTGCACTCTGAATTTCAAATGGAAATGTTAAAAAAATGTGTCCGGATCCTGCCCTAACGGTATGTGGTTAACAAATGAAAAACAGTGCCGAAACAAAAATTCATTAGAATCTGATCGAAACACCATTGTGACAGCACCCACACTGTGACATGTAAGATACGGACTGCTCAAGTTCTGTGTGCGATCTCAAGCCGCTCCCGAATGATTCAATTAGTCTCTCTCTCTCACTGTGTACGTGTTTCAAAATCAATTTGTTCCCTAGGCTGAGATACCACGCTTGATCACACATGTGTTCATCAACTCAACGGGATAGTTCAATTTTTGAAGGAAAAAAATTCACACTGAAGTCAACTTTTCTTTTTCCAACACACACACATCAGATACTCTGACTATGCTAACCTAGTAAGCACCCTACCCGCTCCCTCGTCCCCGCTCCAATGATTATCACAAAAATGGGGCATATATATCACCGTATAGAATGAAGCGCACAGCGTAATGGGTGGAAATCTCGTTAGTGCCTCGCTGAGGAGTATGTGAGCAAGTGAACTGACTGATGGACAGTTAAACACCCAAATGAAATCCTTGTTAGTTGGTTTTCATGTTTTCCTTTTAACTGTATGCATAAATGATTACCAGGTGTACGTATATATATATATATATGTTCATACAACGAAGTTACATCATAAAATATAAAAAGCGAGCGAGAGAGAGAGATAAAATGGGTTGTCGGTAATAGTAAGCTACTAAGCAATCAATTAGAACCTCGTCAGGGGAGACCAGATCTGAAAGTGCACGGGTAGGCAGGCAGTCAGGCGGGCGGGTAGACGAGCAAACGGATAAGCAGAGCGGGAATGAAAGTGATGAATAACCAAATGAAAGGTAAGGCAGTCCATTATATGCAACATTTGGGGGCGGGGGTTAATTAGGGGTTTTAAATGGGGGAGGAAAAGCAGAAATCGTGAGAACCAACGCACCATTTTTTTTGAGAGTTTAATCTCTCATGCTCGGGAATGTTTCATTCCGAAGCTTGATACCAACTCCAGTAAAGCGAACGACTTCTTCACCTCAGGGAAACGATTGGATTCCCAAAGGTGAGCGTTGCACATTTTGTAATGTACATTCGCAACATGACGTATATGACAAGAAATCAGCCCCGACAGAGGCCTCATTCAAATCTGATATGATATAAGCGGACAAGAATCGCATATAGACACACACACAATACAACAGAAGATAACATGCATTACAATAAATGGGCGCTTGACCGTTGTATTTTGCATCTGTTGTCGGACCTGGACAACCCGCTGACCTCTCAGCAGGTTGGGATAATTACCACGAAACGATACAGGACTGATAAGCCCCAAACAGTAAGCTGCTCGTTGTTGATGCCAACTGGAAATTCATGGGCCACGAAATAGCGTCCGGAAACGAGGTGTCATAGTATTTACTGTATGCCGTTTTTTTATTCTCAACTCCACAGTGCATCGTCAATATGAATAGGAATAACAATTACTTGGCTGATGCGCACAAATTACATGACTAGACATACGGTATCTCTTGGACTGATCATTGTCATGCATTAGGTGTACGCGACTCAGATATGCGACCATGGACTCCACAAAACTTTCAGTTGTTCTGTCCCACGATAACCTCGTCTAACAATCGGTTCCAATGTGTGGGTTGCTGTTGTTTGGAATGGAAATTTCCGCATTCAAAATAATTGAACAATGTAATCGTCCGCGGAAACCTTTGAGAGAAATAGCGCAAGCGATCAGGATGCAACTCATCAATTACAGTTCTCCAAGACCACTTTTTTCAGAATGGCGTGCAAATTAGTCGAATAGAGGTGGGAGGGGGAAAGCGATTTGGGTAGGGGCGGGGGGGAGGGACGGGTGCGGGCGTGAGGTCACGCAGTGTACCGGAATACCAAGGCCAGGCATGAGATAGTGATGACAGCAAAAAGAAAGAGCCGTGTATGATTACCCCGTGATCGGTACCGATTAGAATCACCCGTAGGGAGCATTCAAAGACGAATAGGATAAATTCAATGTGCATGTGCTTGTGTGGATGCGCGCGATCGAGCGAGCGAGCGAATCGGATAACGGGGACGGTGCACTTACTTTCTTCAGGCTGGCGGAATGCTGAGTGCATGTTTTAGTGCACAAGTAGAGGTGAATGAGAGGAAGATTGCAAATTGTAGAAAGGTATGTGGCAAAACAGGTAAACAGTAGTGCACGTTTTCTGACTCGACAAGTGATGACACAAATGATATTGGAAATGTGAAAGAAAGGCGCAAGGGATGGGGCTGGTGGTGATATGTAATCGCGTTTGCATTCATCAAAACAAGACTAATACAATTAACTCTGATTAACAATACGAATTTGTAACATGGCAACATAAGACGAGGGAAGCCGAAAATAGCAGACCTGAGAGACAGACACCGATTCTTGGGTGAATAGACTGATCAACTTATGTGTGCCTGATAATATTTAGGAAGTGTTGTGATTGGAACTTACTCGGATCACATCCTCGTTGGGAGATCCGATCATGATATCGATCGGGGATCGCAGCTTGATTGTTTTTGTCCACAAACACTTCCTCCCAACGTATGGTGAAAGCCAAATGGCACAGCATTGGATTGTCTCGCAGAACCACATTGTGCTGTTTGATTGCTGGGTTGGTAAAGAAATCGGAACGACAGAGGAAATTATGATGATAATCACACATCACTTAATTCCCCAAACCTTATGAGTAGTTTCAACAGAACAATGTAAAGGAACAAGCAATGCCAGGTAATCTGGTTTTCAGTACAAACTTTATTGTGCTCACATGCCATATTAGGATACAGGTAAAGAACGAAAAGGATAATACACATAATAACATGAATATTAGTAATAGTAAACAGACAGGCACACTAGATAGATAGATAGATAGATAGATAGATAGATAGATAGATAGATAGATAGATAGATAGATAGATAGATATACACGGTTAGAAAGATAGATAGATAGATAGATAGATAGATAGATAGATAAACAGGAGAAAGCATTTCTGAAATAGAAACTTTACGCCAACGTGCACTTCAAGGTACTTGTGTAAATCGTATTCCGGTCACATTGCTGCCATTTCATCTTAGCCTCGATTGAGTTAACAGTGTCTCTATGTAGAGGAGTGCAAATCGTGAGAAATAGAGCGTATACAGAACTTATTTTGAATGCATAACCCAGGTTTCTGAATATCGATGATGTTCGTCCGTCCGTTCGTTTTCACTTTTCCGCATTCTCGACTGCTGAACTATGATGACTAAATCCCGCCGGTATTGCACGGTTTGGTCTCCCATATCCATTCTATTTTTTTCTAATTTAATTGTACTCTAATTTTGTTAGAGGTCATATTGAGGACATAGGTCCTATGAGCATCTATTGTGGTTCCCATAACGAAATAGGTTTCGGAAATACAAATATCGTAAAACATTCTCTCTCTAATGGTATTTTTATCCGCCAGACAAATTCCGCACAATCTGTGAACGAGATTGTGTCTATCTGTCAGGGCTTACAAACTTGGTCTATGTTTTTATGGGAGAGAGGGGGAAAACAAATTTGTCTCCCCATGCTGAGCTACTGAAACCACTCCATTTTTAGGAAATGCTAAAATTCAGAATAGGATGAATGATACACACTGCCACCAATGCTCCGTAGAGAAAGCATCGGAGATAACTTCTCTAGTGACCATGGGATGGATATTTTGATGGGAGAAAAATGAGTCGAACCGGAACCAAAGTGTGTTGTCTCGTTTTAGGTTTTGTTTTTGTTTCACCTCTCTCTCACTTGTCTCGTAGCACATTTTTGTTCCCATTACCCCTGATTATTCTAGTATTTTTTCTCAAGTTTCCTTCGATGGTTTAGCTGACTGGATTATCCTCAGTTTCGATGGTAAAATGCAAAGTAGAACACCAGATGTGCCTTGAATGGTGTGCTATTGTTTCAAACCCGTCTTTCTTGAAGCAGGCAATGCTACTCACAAGTGACAAGCTCTCACTGTCACTGTTGCATGATTGTTGAATACACGTAACAAATCGAACGGAAATGCGACACCATAAAAGGAAAGAGTTTTACTTGGAAAAGCGATTCAATGCATGTCAACACATACGTATCTCCAACGGGTATACCACTGAGACCGAAATTTGCCACGCTTCTGAGTATCCCATACCATCAGTGTTCATCATTCTTGTGAAGCGGTTTAGAAGCAGATAGCATTCTACGGTAAGCGGCCTAGAAGGAAGTGTTTGCGTCCCACGATCCCCGGCTATACATTGCAGATGTTAGCTGAGCTACTTCGTCCATGGCGAGAACGGAATGGTCTAACTGGCTTTTTGGTCCATATGATGCCCATATTCTCTCTATGCAGTCCGAGCCTCAGTGTGATCCATGTATTCGCACTTCTACTGGTAGGCAGAATTAAAATGGCTGTTAAGTGATTCTACCTGAAGTAAACTTCCTTTTGCATTGACAATTTTCATTGTGAGACACCGTCATGCATACATCACTATGTTAAAAATAGCTAGATACTCCGTAGATCGAATTCGATCCACCGTTCTTGCCGCTCAATGTTGGTTTGGGTAGTAACTTAGGTGCTCCGTCAATCACAATGACCGTGGTCGCCGCCTCCCGAGATCGGATAGTTCGCAGAGAGAGAGAGCGCGCCCACTGCGCGCTATTGTCAAACAAACAATCTCGTTCGGTAATTCCAATTTGTCATCTACACTAGTTCTCTCAGTACTATTCTGATATATCCTGTAAACAAATTTGTCTCACAGTACATACTGTACACACGAAGTTCTGTCAGTCTAAACTCTGGCCTGCATCGACTTAGTCATCTGTACGCAGAAGGACTGTGTCACCTCAAAGACACCAATGAGCAACTGACTGAACGCTAAATCAAGAACAGACATTTCTCTATTCGATCCCATTGTGGCATGATCGAAGTGATCGTTGTGACACTGTTAGCATAAGCGGACAATGGATCCCCCAGGGTTGCCACGACCCGCTACAACCCGCAGTCAAACTCAACACACTCAGTCCAAGTGAATTCCGTAGATCTTTGTTTGCATTGCGTTCTTGACCTGTTCAAGTTATGACGAGGCCCATTGACAAACCAGCGCCAAATGTGTCATTCCATTCGTTTTTCATCATCAGAACCAATCGGTCACGGATCATTCACGCGAAACAATTTCACGTGCATCTGAAAACCAGCTGATAAGTAAACACCTCAGGGAATCCCATCCAATTGGAGGAATGTGGCTGAACGTATTATTTTTGCAGACAGCCACTTGCCGGGGACAGTGTTTGCAAGCGAAACAACAAGATACGAATGAGAATATCTAACCATAATAGCAAAAAACAACAACAGTTTGTGGCCGAGGCACACGTATATTTATGGGAATGCTATCATTCCCATACCTTTCTAAACGCAAATAATCTCGTAGCAAAATACCCCCCTCCCCCATCCCCCCGCTCCCGATTGTATATTGGCCTGTGAAACATGGTCACCCGGGGGTAATTGACCCCATGAGATTGAAAAGTATCGACCACGGGTGCCTGTAACATGTGGCCAAAGCTAAGTGGTAGGACCGTGTATCGATTTACACTGTTTGTCTGCGGTGTAAGAATACACAATAGTGATCCGTATCTCCTCAAAGACGATGTCTTCAGTGGTTCGGTAGCCAGAATAACAAAAAGTACATGGAAAAGTTTATCCTGTTCTCCCAGAGGGTCAACTAAAATGTTTTATCCTAAGTTGAACACTTGGAATATTTCGCTAGAAATGGAGAACGTTCAATTCACTCTTACGGGTATTTCTTGTTGCACTGAAACAACGCGGCCATTGTACGCGTTTTGACAGATGAAATTCTAAGCTATTGTTGCCTGTTAGAAACAACTGATATTGATCACCAACAATCTTGATGTCATTTTTTGAAAGTTTATCTAAATTCTAACCGCGATTATCAAATTATTCCGTTTCTTTATGTCAATTTCAAGTTCGGAACCTCTTTCTTTCTAATCGATTTAATTTATTTGTTAAGATTTATTCCTATTAATTAAGTCTTTGTGGCAACAGGCAGAAGGGCTAATAATTTTTATTTGTAAGTAGGAGAAACATTTATATTTCGCAACCTTCCACCTGAAAAACAATAATTTTTGAAGTAAAATGTATGCGTTTTTAGGGTTAACCACTGTGACTTCATCGTTCGTGATGCATTTTACTCATTGAGATCTCTTGTGAAATTCTACCTTCCCCACGCCTTAGGAGCGGCCGAATTCACACAACCCTAAGCCAGCTGTAGTTGTATGCTTACTATGTTGACGAGTTGGTTCAGACGCATAGGCTATGCATATTCTCGTCGGACTCATCAGTTGTAATCCACAGTGTACTTGTTGTTATTTGTACGAGACCTACTCCAACTGGACAATAACTAGGCTTCTTGAATGAATTCAGACAGGATCTTGGGAATGAAGTGGTTTCCCGACCACCAGGAGGAACTTTGTTTCAAGGATACTTGCTCGATTAATCGAGACCTGTGAAACTAGAGGAAGATGTTGATGGATGGATGTTGATGATTGGATCATACAGTCACACTAAGGTAAAATCATGGAAACAGCCGACAACACCACCAAGCTGGTCGACCAATGATGAAACCCTTCTATTGCAAACTCGGGAACCCAGTGAAGACAAGATAATGGACCGATAAATACTATGAGAACTTCTCATATGAATTCCACCAGCAGAGTGGGATATCAAAGCTTTCGAGTTAGTAGTTAACACGATTGACTGAGAAACAAGCGATCAATACGTGAAGTGGATTTTATTTTATTTTTTAACTGTGCATTGTGCGGACTGGAGATGTAAAATAGTGATGAGGATTTGGTAATTACCCACTCAGAATGGTTCATAAAAACCCCCTATTGTCAGTGTACTGATCTTGTAAAGCAAACAGAGTAATCACCACCGAAAAGCCTTCAAAGCAATGTATAGCTGGGGTTCACACTGGTTAAGAATCGAGAGAAATGCACTTGAACATAAACCCCGCGATTCCAACCAGGACACAAGGAGTTGCTACACCAGAGAGCTATTCGGACTGACTCATAACAACTTGCCACATGTCAACACCACATGAAGTAACGCTCATCCGCCCACATAGATGAGTCCTGAGCAGAGTTCTACTGTGGTTGAACGATCAGGTTATTTGTGAATTGTATAATAATAAGATGTTCCTCCTTTTGGAGTAAATGATCGAAACAGATATGCAATCAACTTTGGGGGAAAGAGACTACGATCAATAATAATAATAATGAACTGGGAAGTTGGACGATGACACTGGGATTCACTAATTGCAGTTCGCTGTTTTGATGGCCTGAACCACTGCCGTTCCATACAACAGATAGGAAACAGATGGTCACCAATAGCATTCTTAATGTTGTCCAAAACTGGCTATTTTCTAATTTCAAGTCCTCTTAGTCACATAGCACTTTTGACCGATTCCGCAATTGTGTATAATTCATTAATCGTATATATATATATATATATACCTAATACCTCTGTGCATTTTCTCATGCCTCGTCTTCACGGCACCTCCATAACCTCCATGTGGTTTTGCTCCAGTCCAGAGCAGTTACAGCGAACAAAGCGCTTAGCTCCAAACGACAGCTGGGCGTGCACAATACGTGAC